GGCAACACGGTGGGACAGCGAAGGAGCAGGGAAGGGGGTGGCCATGGTGATTGCGGCAGCGGCCGGGTCGCGTCCGGCCGAGCGCTCAGCGCTGGCGAGGAGCAGGAAGGACAGAGCGGCGCGTGGGGCGGTGGCGGCCATGGCACATCGAGGAACAGCAGGCCCAGCACGGGGCCGGGGCACGCACATGGGAATGGCCGGCACCGGACGGGGAGGAAAGCGCAGGAGCAGGGGCGCCTCTTCCCACGATAGCAAAAAAGGAGGGGAAAGCAGCGACTGAGGACTGGGAAGCGGCTGCAGGACGAGAGGAGCGGCAGCCTGGTGGAGAAAAAGGAACGGCAGTAGCACCTCCCCCACTGACTCGATCACGGCGACGAAGAGAACGGGAGCACGGGAGAGACCGACATGATTGAAAGAAAGACAGCAAGCGGCTCTGTCACTTACTTCATAAACTCGGCGTGGCAGGACGTCCTGGCCCAACGTGGTCGGCAGGGTCAGGCTAGGCAACGATGCATCCCATCATCACTACGACCGGGGCCACGATTACGTGCAGCACCACGAAGATATGTCTGCGCGCAGCCACGCGCAATAGCGACGCGGCAGGCAACTCAACGACGCAACAAGTCGGACGACTGGGCCGTCGCCACACTAGCGCCTAGATAGGATGACTTGAACCTAGCGGGACGCGAAGGCAGCCAGCCCGGCTAATCCTTCATTAACTCGCACGTCGTACCGTCGAGGTAGGCGAGCTGAATGGCCAGCGGTACCCTCGTCATTATTTTTAAACCAACATCACATTGACACTCAAACAAGCGTACCAACATATTTACGAGGTTCGTATCCTGCTGATGATATGAGTTTTCCCGTTTATATTTTATATTATTTTAACTTCCAAAAATTTGTTTTCTAAAACAACGTTATGTATGTACAAGCATAACTAAAGCTCTGAGGTTTAGTAATTTACTTTCAACAATTTTTTATTTATAGAAATTATTTTTCATGTCCAATCAAATAAACAAACCATTCGCTATCTATTTTCCAGGATTCGAAGCTAAAACCAGAAGAGGGGAAACGCTCAAGGTGACCGAACGCTCTGATCAGTTCTCCCCACCACAGAGCCGTTAAGTTGTGATTGGACTCTGACCTGCGTCCGGTCAGTACTGACTGGACGTGTTCAGTCACTAAAACTGCTCTCTAAAACCTTACTGATGTTGACCGGACGCTGGCGCCCAGAGTCCGGTCACTTTGATGTTCAGCGTCCGGTTAGTAACCGGGGCGCCAGCGTCCGGTCACTTTGATGTTCAGAGTAACCGGAACCTGACCAGCGTTTGGTCAGCACTGACCGGACGCGTCCGATAAGGATTCTCTCTATCTGGAACCTTACTGGAGTTGACCGGATTCTGGCACCCAGCGTCCGGTCACTTTTCACTCAGCGTCCGGTCGCATCCAGACGACTTCTCTTGATCAAATAAACTGACCGGACTCTACTGCCAGCATCCGGTCACATCGGAACCAGCGTACGGTTAACATTTGACTCTCCATTCACTTACAACTCGAAATCATATGTGAATGAAATTCGCTCCAATTGATCTTATGGCTACTTCGGAGCTACCTAGTGCTAGATTTGACAAGTGTGCACCACACCTAACCCACTAGACTCACCTAGGTCAAGCTACTAGTTCATACCCCCCTTAATAGTACGGCCAAAGGAAAAATGAGGTCCTAAACTACTCTAAGTGTCTCTTCAACACCAAACGACACTTAGAACTAATCCATCCTTAACATTGTCGTTCATTCTTTGAAAACCGAAACGATTCACATCGTAGGGGCATGACAACTATGATTGCCCAATCAATTGATATTACAATGACCTAACTTAATTGTCTCTACAAAACACATGTTAGTCATAGTAATCACGTATTGTCATTAATCATCGAAACCCAACTAGGGACCTAGATGCTTTCACTGTGTAATATACGTTGTAAAAGTTACTTTTATTTCATCCCTCACCTTTTTATAAACCCTTTTTCCATGTTCACGAATGATTAGTTTCTAAAACCTAAAAGAGGGCGTTATTCTCGTAGGTATTTTCAAAATGTAAATTTTGCGCTAAAAGAAAATGTAGTATTGTATAACTTAGCATTGCTAAGTTTTTCTTCGAAGTTACGCTGTCAAATTCAGTTATCTAAGTTATGTGCACATGGTTTTAAAAAAAAGAAAATGTTATGTGCACATGGTTTAAAAAAAGAAAAGAAAATGAAATGCCTACGCGCCCACCCGAAAAGAGAAAGAAAATAGTATACTATTATAAAATGATGTCAGGTGACAATGAATGCTTTCCTATAAAGGCAACTATGCTGATTGGTGAATTGATCGATGGTTTCATTCAGAATTGCGGGCAAAACTCGGAGGTTTTGATGTCAAAACCAGTTTTTTTTTTAGTTTGGAATGCAGAATTGCGGGCGGAGGACGAGAACAAGTACATGGCAAATTTCATTTAATTAACATAACCAGCGATGATCCTTGGAGCAAGTCAGACAGTGGGACTAGTACGCGCAGAGGATTCAGACAGTGGGACTGGTACACGCAGAGGATGAAGAAAGAGTGAGTCATCGTTGATTTGATCATGGAAATAAGAAAATGTACACTCGTGAAGCAGAGTGATACCTCCGCGAAACCTGTAAAGAATTTCCGAAGCTACACCTGAGGCTACAGGCAAATTTTTTGTCTTGGACTTGGCGGGAGGCAGCCGAAGCAAAGAAGGCGCCGGCGGCGGTCACCAGAAGGCGTGCTTCCGCCGGAACCGCCTGGCCGTGGCGAGGAGGCCGACGCCAAGGCACACGGCCCAGACGCCCATCTCCATCGCCCACCTCACCGTCTCCTCCTCCTCCTCCTCGTGCTTCCACGGCTCGCCGTCGTCCGACGCGTCCCCGACCACCTCCCACCCGTCGTCGCCGTCGTCACCGCAGGCGCCGCACTCGCAGCGGCCCCAGCAGCCGAGGTCCGTGGCCTCCTCCGGGATGCCCTCCAGCCTGGTGGCCCCGCACCGCATCCGGCCCCGGCCGGCCGCCCGGGCCTTGTCCCGCATCAGCAGGCCGCCCTCCGCGAGCACCACCACCTCCGCCACGCACACGGACGCCGAGGCCGAGACCGGCGCCCGGCGGCACTCCACGCGCCACCCCTCGCCGCCGCGACGCCGCAAGAAAACGCCCTCCGCCGCGACCTCCTCCCCGGCGAGCACCTCGAAGCGCGCGCCCTCGGCGGCAGCGACGCGGTCGTCGCTCGCGTACGCGTACGCGTCCCCGCTGGAGACCTGGCGCAGCGTGACCTCCGCTGGCGCGGCCGGCGGGAGCGCGCGGCCGTTGAGCCCCAGCGCCGCGCCGCCGATGGCTGGGTTGTACACGAGCGTGAGCTCCGTGGGCGCCGGCGCCGCGGGGGAGCAGGAAGAGAGGCGGAGGTAGAAGGCGCGGATGTCGAGGCGCGGGGACGGGGACGGGGACGGGCGGAGGAAGCCGCCCTCTATCGACGTGGCGCGGCACATCGCGGAACCAACCGGTCGGTGATCGTGGGCGTGTGCCGCTTCGTCTTCCTGGCTGCTGCTCTGTGCTCTCGCGTGTTGGGTTTCTTCCTCAGCTCGTGATGACCGATCGAGGTAGGCCGCTTGTGCTGCGGGGCGCGCTGGGAGCTTTGGTGATAAAGCCGAGCGCGGGGGCGGGAGGGAGGGAGATGCCGTCCGGTGGGCGCGCGGGGAGGGTGGGCGCGTGGTTTTCCGCGTGGCGCCCGGGGTTTTTGTGGTGGAATCGGCCAAAACGGGGCGGGCGTGCCGACCGCGGAGCACACGGTTTGCTTTGCTTTGGTTCCCGACTGTCTCTGCCTCTCTGGGCTCGGCGCGGTGCCACTGGCCGTGGCCCGTGGCCGGCAGCAGCGGGGTCGGCTCGCGTCCTGCTTGCCCACTACACTAGTTTGTCTTCATCTCGTCGCGTCCTTTTCTGCTGGGCAGCGATGCATCGTCCCCTCCCCTAAAGTTGGTCGCGGTGGGGTGTAGCTGACTCTGCCTGTCCGCCCGCCGGGACAGGTGTGCACCGAGCCTGAAACATGTCACCACCAGGTCCGACTTCGCCTTCGCCATCGCCTTCGCCTTCGCAGGCGTATGACGGACGGTATGCAGCCTGTTCGCTTGCTCGTAAACGATCGTAAATTCCAGGTCGAGAACGTTGCGTTGCTACCGAAGCCAGTACCAACCTCGCCGCATGGATGGGCGTTGCGTTGCTACCGAAGCGGCCTCGCCGCATGGAGCCAAACAACTGTTTCCCCCGCATTGTATCGTGTTCCCGCCGCTCTCGCAATACGTACGCTTCCGACGCCCGAGTCTAGCTCTACCTCTAAACAGCGCAGAGCTTCCGTCCACGTACTCCACCAACACACGCGGACATGTCACTACTTGACACTCCCAAGTCCCAAGACTTGTTCAGTGCGTGCAGCGACAAACAGTCCAACACCCAAGGGAATGACTACTCAACAGCATATATAGTAACACGACTTGCTCCGGAAAAATGGTACTCCTATGCAGCTAATTTTGCCGTTTCTGTTGACGCCTTGTTTAGTTCCACCTTAACTTCTAAAAAATTGCTACAGTATTTGTCACATCGAATGTTTGCGGCCCGTGCATGGAGCATTAAATGTAGACGAAAAGAAAAACTAATTGTACAGTTTGGTGGAAAATTGCGAGACGAACGTTTTGAGCCTAATTAGTTCATGTTTGAACACTATTTGCCAAATAAAAACGAAGGTGCTACAGTAACCCCAAATCCAAATTTCGCGAACTAAACCAGGACTGAATATGCAAACACAGTACACTACAAAACATCTCCATAACAGGCTAAATAATTCACTGCAAGTATGCACTAGGTGGGACTCAGCAAAAAGTTGAGCCATCCACAACCACCGTACAACACAAGAACAGCACGGGCACTCTGCACTAAGGCCCGCACCGTCATAATCTACCTAACCCACCCTCTGGTCTTGTTCCCGCCTGGTTGCTGCTTGGCGACTCCGGAGCTCGGAGCCACCTTGTGCGTAGCAGCGGCAGCGGCAGCGGCAGCCGCCCTCGACGACGCCGTCGACCTCACCAGATTCTTCACCTGAGGAGGAGGTTCCGTCGACTTCCTCTTGAGCCTCGCCTCACGCTCGGCCGGCAGGCTCCTCTTCCTTCCAGTGTTCTGACCGCCTGGGATGACGCCGTTGTTCTCTTGCTCACCGCCGCCGATGGACGCGTTCCTCGCGCCCCCTTTCCTCTTCTTCTCGTTGCCCGCTTCAGGAGCCTCAGGAGGAAGTGAAGGGTTCTCAGCGTGAGGCTGCTGCTTGTTTAGAGCGTCTGAGCTCCTCAGGATGCGGTTCTCCTTCTCGCTCATCGCTTCGTCCCTGGGAAACGGCGGCGGCGGCACCTTCGCGTTTACAGGAGTCGAGACGACGGTGGACTCCACGGTCATCATGTTCGTGTCCTGCTCTTTCGTCTTGCTTTCAAGATCTCTTAGCTGAAATATGGAGACGCCAAGCTCCGGGTTATGTTACTTCCCCCCAACATGCTTAAATAAATGCAGTACTGAATACAAAGTAGCAGCTCTGAGAAAGAAGGCTACCTTAATCTGAAGCATTGACTCGGTTCTCTGTGTTTCCAACAGCTCATGTCCTATTTCTCTTGCCTGCATTTTTGGGGGCATAAGAAGATCAACTACCTTTGTCTGGAAGACTGGAAACATGAAGTGGAATCAATGATAGATAGCATAACATCTATAGAGGAGATACCTTTAGTTCCGCGACTGATCGCTGGTGTTCTTGTTCCTTCAACTTGAGCTCCAGCTCCTTGATCTAAGAAAAGAAAAGAAAAACTTCATAAAACAAACCCAAAACTGTTGACAAATCGCAATATCATTTCCCTTTTGAAATAGAAGGCAGGAAATTGGTCGCAAAATTTATAATACAGTAGAATTGAAGAAAGCACATCATTCAAGGAGTCACCTTTAGTTCTGCAACAGATCGTTGGTGTTCTTGTTCCTTCAGCCTGAGCTCCAGCTCTTTGATCTGACAAAACAAATAATAATAATAATAGTAATGATAAGACCAATTCATATACCAGATTCAAAGATAACATCTTCGTAGAACTTACACTTAATTCCACAACTGATCGGTCATGTTCTTGTTCCTTCAACTTGACCTCCAACTCTTTGATCTGAGAAAAGAAAAAAATCATAAAACCCAGTCCGAGCATGATGCTAAATGTCATTGAAAATTACTTGTAAAATTACCGTTTTCTTGAGAAGCGCAACCTCAGATTCTGATTGGTGTGGCTGTCTAAGCTTGCATTCTAAGTCCACAATCTGAAAAGGGGTGAGCATGGGAACATAAAAATTTCAAGTCTCCTAATTAAGAAGCTGTAAGAATACTAACTATTCATGCTCCTAGCATTAGCATGCAAACAGCAGTAATTACTTTCAACGTACCTTCTGCTGAAGTGCAGTACACATTTCTTCTTTCTCTTTTAGTTTTCCAGAAAGCTGACGCTGCTGTTTCTCTGATGTAATTTGAGAATGTGCCTTGGAATCTAACTGGCCCTCAAGCTCTTTTACCTAACATATTTTTCGAGAAGGCTGTCAGGCACAAGTGAAAAACAATAACCAAGAAACACCATAAGGACCAACTCTTCAAATATTACCCCTCATCAATTATATGTACCTTTTCTTGCAAGTTTTTGCAAAGTTGCTCTTTCCCTTTGCCTTTGGTCTCCAAATTCTGTAAGTTTTCCTCTAGCTTTCTCAAAGAATCATCCTTAAGTCTGAGTTCTTGCTTAGCTCTTTCAAGCTGACATTCATTCAGCAGGAAAAACGTAAATATATCAATAGGCCAGCTTCAAGCAAGTTGCTTCAAGACAATCCTGAAAGTTAACTTAGGAAAATGCACAACTAAAACCCACCATCTGTTTGGTCTTTTGAAGTTCAACAGTATCAACCTGCTTCTTTGCTGGTCCCAATTCAATACGCCGAACACGGGCAAAGTTTAATGAACTCAAGGTTTCTGAAACATCATTGTCGGATGGGCTAATTTGCACAAACATTAATGCTTTTGAGTCTCCTCCTATTATCAATAACAAAACCACAGAAAGAAAATTAATCATGTGGCCAAGTGAGGAAAAAGTTAGACATAATCATGGTAATAGTTTTCCCTGAGCAAGCAGATCATCTTACCTAGAGAATCTTGCAGCAAGTGTGTCAATTTGGAATTTCTGACCAGATAAGACACATAAATAGTGAGTGATAGAACAAAGGAGTTAAATAGTTACATATGCAGTTATATGAATACCACAAACCTGTAGGGTATATGGCTGCTTTTTGTAGCAAGAGCTGAAATGACATCACCCAATGCAGAAAGTGATCTGTTAATATTTTGTGCTTCCTTAAGTCGTTCGCCTTGCACGTCCGTCTTGGCTAAACGCTCACTTCCAGCCAAATCTACAAGCCAAAGCTTACTACTTGTACATTCTCCAGTAAGCAGGTTCTTAGCTCTCACCATGATGCATAGCATGCTGAAGAAAGGTTATAAAGATTAAAAGAAGAACCATTTGGACAGCAAGCAATCAGCTCACGAATAAAAAGGATATTATAATGAAAACAGGTGGCCAACCAGTGGGAGCGACTGCTGTGCTCATTAACATTGTTTGAACCAACAGCCCTTGCATTGCTTCCAGTTTGCAAAACTTTCCAAACCTCATTTATGTTCTCAATTTTGGCCTGCACTAACCCAGGGACATGATTTTGTCCTTCACTGTTCGGCTTGATCTCCAGCCTAAATGCAAAGGATGAATGTTGAGTTAACACGAGCTCCTACTATTATAAACAAAAAAAAAAAGAACCTGAAAATAAATTTTCATACTTTTTAGATGGAGACGTGGCAAGAAGGTCTCTGATCTGTTCGTTGTAGACCTCAAGAACACTAACAGATAAGTCATATGTGACACTTTCTTTCCTCTCCTCTGCAATATTGAACAGTTCTTCCAGAGTTCTATAGTTAACACCCCTATTACTCTCAGTTCCTTCCATGGTAAACGTCTTTCCTGTTCCTGTCTGCCCGTAGGCAAAGACGCATACATTATAGCCATCTAAGACAGATGTGACCAGTGGAGATGCATCGACGTACACTATATCTGCCCATCAATTCAAGTTGCACATTAGACAACAGAAGTCATATAAGGTAAGTTGTTTCAACATAATAATTTAGCACTTTTGCTTTTTAGCAAAACATGTACAAGTACCAGCTAGCAATCTTCTCCTTATAATGTTAAACTCAAATAACTGAATGTGTAGACTATTGTGTCTAACACAGTGACAGGATAACGATTGTAAATGCTTTTAGCCAAACATGTACAAGTACCCAGCTAGCAAAATCTTGTCTTTATAATGTTAAACTCAAATAACTGAATTTGTAGACTATTGTTTCTAACACAGTGACAGGATTACAATTGTAAAATAAACTACAGCTTCATTGAAACATCAAAGTTATGACTAATATACCTTGATCATCATTTGGCGTGAAGACTCTATCGAACTTAAAGGTCTTTTTAGTTGTTCCGCCATTTGCAATTACAATGTCACCATCACTGGATCCATCGAAATCCACTACACATTTTTATCAAGTTTGTGAGAAAAAAATCGAGAGAAGATACTTTTTCGGCTCTGGTTCCTTCAGAATCCTTGCAAGGAGCCGTTTTTTTTATGGCCGTTTGACAGAGCTTCTTGTAAGAACCCGAAGCCCCACCATAGTATAGCTCCTCTGCCTATTGTCATGTTAAAAGCCTCTAGCCCTCTATACACATGTTTTGTATTTTTAGAAAGTTTTCTAACAAAATAGCGAACTTTAGCTTTTAGCAAAGCTAGATTCAATTATAATTTAGAAAGAAGTGAGAAAACTCTTACCAACTTCGTGTTGAAAATTTACACGTGTTGAAATTTTACAGAGACTCAAGAATAGTTTGGCACTTGGCAGTCGTCGTCGTTTCATTTGCGTCTTATAAACTTTGGCATGACATTCGCCTGAAATAACAAGCCACGGTCAGCCTCAGCCATGACGAAAATTAAATGATGACGCACGCGATTACGAGCTCTAAAAGTCTCCCATGCATGCCTCACGGAGAAAGAGATATCGGCCCCGTTCGTGTGCCCTTAAACCCGACTTGTGCCTTAACGGCGGAAAATGCTCTACCTTTTATATTCAATGACCCTACCTTTTAAGGGCAGTTGTCACGAAAATAAAGGATAAAGCAAGGCGTTGGACCCTAAACAAAAATCAACAGACCGGGCGCACTTCTCTATATCCCATTTGTTAACAGCATTTTTTTCTATTTGTTCAGTACAAGACATAGTTTTTTAAACACGGATGCTTTTATATATACCTTGTTCTAATTTCCCTTATTACTCCCTCCATCCGTGTAGGCCATTTGTGTATTGGGCCCTACGAGTAAAAAGGCCCCAAGCCCAATTTGCATCCACATCACCAGGGAAGGCTGGCTGTTCGCCCAAAGGCCGAAGCCTTACCTGACCCGTGACAATTTTGCTCCCCTCGCCGCCGCCGCCGCCGCTGTTGCCGCCCGTCGTCGCTTCTCTCCCTGTGCTTCGGTCCCCGGGAAGCAAGGCCCCGCCTCCCTTGTACCCGTCGAAGAAGGGAGAGGAGCAGATGAAGGCGGGGAGGAAGAACCTGCGGCGGGCGTGCGACGAGGGCGCCGCCGTCACTCTCGCCGAGGGCGAGAGCATCATGCAGGTCCTCACGCTGCGCGGCTCCAACGTCATCGAGGTGAGGCGCTTATCGATGATTCCCCGGGCTCCTGGGTTCAGTCGCGCACCGTCTAGTTTCGTTTCCTAACCGGCGTGCTTTCTTGCCAGGTGATGGACGGCGAGGGCGTCAAGTCCCTGGCCTTGTTCCCTGCCAAGTTCCAAAAGAGCTTCTGGATCAAGAACGGTGGGTGATTCGTGAGGTGTTGGTTAGTTCTCCTGGATACAGAGGAACTGGCTTTACGACTTAACTCTCTGTCTGCTCTGAATCCGCAGGGAGTTTCGTGGTTGTGGACGCTAGTGGGAGGGATCAGGCTCTGGAATCGGGTAGCAAGATTGCGTGTGTTGTCTCGCAAGTCCTCTTCCACAAACAAGTTCGGGCTCTGGAGAAGACTGGTAGCTGGTAAGTTTCTGGGTTCTTTGATGCAAATGGTGCTGGATAATGGCAATTACTCACAGTTCTGGCTTATGAGTTCAATCCAAACTTAGGATACGTTGGTAGGAGTACTGGAGAGGGACCTCACCCCGGTCAGCGCCTTAAAGTTAGCTGGCAGTAAATATTGTTCTTCTTTGCTATTTTTCGTGCAATGTTCCACAAACCGTGGTATATCTTATAATAGAATATCCACTTGACTGCTGCTACTTTTGTGTGTCAATTTGTTTGCCTCATGACTCAAGAAAGGATAGTTTCCTTCATGTTAATTGATGTAGTCTACATGAAAAATAGAAGGAAGAATCGATGCGGAATAATTTGCACCCATTGGTTTGGCTGCCTCCTGTTTTGAAGGGTTTTGTTGAGTGGCCAACTATAAGCAGCAACATGGAAGATCCATCTAGGTTGAGATAAAAAAAAACTTCTTTTTTTGACTGAAGCTGGTGGTGGTATATCTCATATGTAACTATATCCAAATGACAGTACACCTGCAATGCCAATTTACAAAGTGACTGGTTTAATTACCTATGTTCAATGTGCATTGGGTCTGGTGTCGTTGTCATTGGCATTCAACCAAAATTCTGTTTTTTCAACAAGCCCCCAAAATCGATCATCTAATTCTTTGCATCTTGGATATACAGTTACAGTTCACTTGCCTCATAATAAAAGAAAGGGTCACTGAGTAATAAATCTGAACAGCACATATAGCTTTTTACCTGATCAAATGGCCACGAAAGAATTATTTTGGATATGCTGAATTCTGTTTTGTATTTTCTATTTTGAAGTAATGGCAGAGGGGGAAAAAAAAGGATTAGAGATCCTAAGCTACTAATTTTGATCTTATAAAATATCAGTTCGTGGACATTTGTATCAGCACTGAAGTCCTAGTGTACCTTTGCTGAATGTTGCTTACCTTGACATCCTGAAATTGTTCTTCTGACCAATTCGTCCCTTCTTATATTAGGCCAGCTATTTTCAACTCAACTCCAAATGAAGCTTCAGAGGCGGGAACAGAAGCACAAACTTCCGAGGTTGATGAGGGACCAGATTCTGATGAAGATGACGATCTTCCACCACTTGAAGCAAACACGAACAGGAATAGACCATATGAATTGTATTCTGATTCAGACAGTGGTTCTGATGCTTAAACTAGTTTAGATTGTAGCATGCCATTCATGTTGTAATTTGTGATGAAAAGTACCAAAGGTAATCCTGTGGGTCAGTGGGTGTTCTCAAAACAACTAAGGTTCGGTTGCCATCCACATACCCACCTGGTGTGTTTTCTTGTTCATTCACGTTGATAGTTTTATCTAAAGAACGATTGCCTGCGCTGTCGAAGATATTTGTGTTGTGAATGGAATGATTGGACTGGAGCTATATATGCCTATGTATGTTAGAATGGTCAAGGAAGTCGAGTTTGCCTCGTCATGTTTTGTTTTCACTGAAGCTGCCGCTGCTGACCTGGAAAATTGGAGTCAGAACGGCGGGAAAAGAATCCTCCTTGCGATGGCTTGTTTCTCAAACCAGTGTGCGTCGACTGAGCCTTTGATGTGTTGCCGTGGTTGCAAGTGTCTGCTATCTTCTGGATGAGGACCCTGCAAACTTGCCAGCTGATGTACTGAAAAATCTTGTACCACGACGGGGATCGTCGCGGAAAACCCGGATGATTTGAGGTCAAAACCAGAGATTTTTTTTACTGAAAAATCTTGCACCGTGACGGCGATCGTCTCGCAAAACCGAATTCCACTGCTACGGTTGTTCACCGCTTTGGTTCCGAGCGAACGATCCAACCGCCTCGTCTCTTTTCATTTTCGGCGGCCTTTCCTTTCCCGTTCCCTTTCCTCTTCGAGCCTTTTACTTGTGTGGCATTAAAAAGTTTGTAATTATACATAAACCATTAAAAAGATGACCGCATATAGTGCCACTCGCTTCTAAACTTTTTGTCATACAAGTTATTCCGTCCTTGTTTTTTTTTTTTTTTCTTGCGTTTGGTAGCCCCTGCAGGTGGGACCACCCAAAGAAATTGTCCATGTTGCCCTTGGGCGGTGAAGACCTTGTTGACTACGATTGACCGCCACCTCGGTTTTCTCTCTCTGTTCCTCTTTATCTTCTTCCCCTTCCCATGACGACCCGGCGACGTCAGATGCACTGCAAACACGGCTTATGCGTGTCGTCAAGACTGCGCCCGGTGTCGACCCCGCCCGGCACCTCCAGCCTCGGCCCGCCCTTCGCCCGGCGCCTCCTGCCCCAGCCCCACGCTCCCGACCCCACGGCTGGCCCCCCACACTCCCGGGCCAGCACCAACTCTGCACCCTCGGCGGCGGCGGCCCCCCTGCGTCCTCGGTGATTACGCCGCGCCCAGTTCCCAGCCACGCCCGAAGCGGTGTCGTGCCGCCAGCGCTTCGCTCTCCCGGCGACCCGAACCATAACTTGGCCCGACGACCTCCTAGGCGGTCGTGCGGCGAACCCCGGCGGCCCCGCGGTCTCGCCCCGAGACCCAGCGCCCCCCAGCGGCCGCGGCCTGTGCTCCAACGGCCGCGCGCCCACGCGTTGGCAACCTGGCGGTCGCATCCCGAGCTCCGGCGGCAGCGTCACGTGCTCCGGCGGTCGCCTCTTGAGATCCGACGGCCACGTCCCGAGCTCCGGTGACCGTGTCTCGAGCTCCGGCGTCGCGTCTCGACGGCCGCAAGCCTGCCCAGTGGCCACGCGCTTGCTCGGTGGCCACAAGCTCCGGTAAAGACGTGGCTTCCCGGCGGCGGTCGCGGCTCTCCCCTGCGCTCCCCTTCTTCTCCGAGAGGGGCACATGGGGAGACCAAGAAAACTGAGGTGGCAGTTAATCGTAGTCAACACGGTCTCCACCGCCCAAGGGCAACATGGACAATTTCACTGGCAGGTCCCACCTGTAAGGGCTATCAAACGGCAAAAAACATACAGAACAAGGACGGAATGGCTTGTAAGGCAAAGAAGTTTAGAGTAGTGGCATCGTGTGCGGTCAACTTTTTTAATGGCTTATGTGTAATTACAAATTTTTTAATAGCACACAACCACCGGCGGAGCCACGTATTGGCCATAGAGGGCTCCGGCCCCCCCTTACCCCGTAAAAAAATGAGAATATATGTTGCGGAAGAAATGTTCAGCGTAGCTATTGATATAGACTGACAGGGCAACTGTTATCTGCTCTGTTAAATAAAGGTCACCTGTCCATTTTGGGCGCATAGAATATCTCGAAAATACAATGGGCCGATCTAACAGGATTTCCACTTTTCTCCTATTTGCTCCTGTCTCAACACCTAGAAAAATCCACAACCGCTGAACTGGTAAGGGTTGCAGACGCTGATTTGTGTCGTGGGAAGCTGGAACACATGATACTGTCGTGCTGCCGTGCCCCCCGTTTCCTAATGGTTAAAGCAACTCCATTTCTATATACCCTGTTCGCTTGAGATTTTTGCCGCCCCGCCGCTGTGGCTGCAGGATGAACGGACGGAGCTACTGTAGCAGTGTAGCTTTGAATCAGCCCCCTGCACATTCATGCAAGCTCCGCCACTGTACACAGCTAAAAGGCTCTTCCTTTTGTGCCTTCTCCCCCCACTAGCCCACTGCTCCTCCTTTCCTCTCCCCGCCCACAGCTTGAATGCCACCACCTCCGTTGCACACGCCTCCGCGTGCCCGCGGCGTTCGAAACCCTAACGCCGATCCCCATCGCCAGTCGATCGCAGACGCTTGGAGGCGCGCGGTGCCCATGACGAGCGGCCTCTGAGCCTGCTGGGTGCCCCCTAGCTAGATCCGAGGGGCTTCCACCGATGGCGAGGGTAGAGGCCAACTGGGAAAGGCTGGTGCGCGGGGTGCGGCTCGTCGGCGCCTACGGGCAGCCGGTCACCGGCATCGCCGGGAACGTGTCGTCGCTCGGCAACAACGTGCACATCGAGGAGGTGCTCTGCGCCGCCGACGAGATCCAGGATGAAGACCCCACAGTCGAAGGCCAGATCTGGCGAGCCCATGTGTGGGGGCTGCTGCTAGTGGCGGATCGACGCGGAGGACTGAGTGGTGGTGCCTAGATCGACGCATGGTGTGTGGTTTGCTTCTTCGAGATTTATTTCCCCTCCAGCTTATTCATGCATCGGGTCCCTGTGATGACACTGGGCTTTTGTTTGCCTACGTTGCTCATGTTGCCTGCTAGCGTATTCTATCTGTAATTAGCTGCCACTGTTTTAGAATCATGGCTAGGCTAGTTTTAGTTGTATGCATTTAGCTTAGTTGGACCTTGGCACCTTGCTGACATTATGTATCTAGCAGGTAATTTAGTTAAATACATCAGTAGTTCTCTGAATTTAGATGCCTATATCATTGATTATATTTTTGGACATCATTCCAGTTTCCATATTCTGCTTAGTTCATCCGTTGAACAGTACTGTGGTACTCCACTACAGAAAATCAAACTTCCACCAAATCAAAGGATAATGATTAAATAAACTTGATCAGATTTCTTCAACTAAGTTATATTACACGTTACACCAATTCTTTTGTTTTATTTCGACCTGTCTAATAAAAGTAGGAAAAATATTATTTTATGCCGCTTAGCCAGGTTCCTACCGTTTGCCAATTGCCACTTTGTTCTTCAACTAGCTGGTGGGGTCCTTGGTTATGTCAATTATCAATGTATGGTGACAAACTGATGACAAAAGCCAACACTGAAATACAGTTCGGTTTTAAAATGGAATATTTTACAATTGAAACTTGGTTTGATCTGGTAACGTTTATGTTTGTACTTATTTTATACAGTTTGTGAGCATGCTTACACGCTAGCCCAGAGTTTTGATCCCAACAACGAAGGGAGAGGAGTATTGCAGTTCAAAACCGGTTTAATTAATGTCAGTGATTAGGGTATGTTCTCTGTGAGTTCCTTGTTCATTTTTATTTGATATTTGGTTCTTTTCAGATAATTTATTTATAGGCATCTCTTGTTTTTTTTTACAATTGAGATTAATTAATTTATTGTACTTATTTTGTACATAACTTATATGTATGAAGTACTGGTGTGAATTGTCCTAATATTTTTCTTATACTGAACTTGTTTTATTAAATTATATGCATGTAACTTGTATATTGTAGTTATTATGTTTTAGTTTCTGTATTATGTTTTTAAAGTTTTTTTTATCAAACTTTAATATCTAACTTTGTGCACATAACCTGTAGATATTAAGTTCGTGTCTAACTTTTTATATCTAACTTTCTTCACATGTATAACTTTCTGCACGTAATTTTTATGTCTAACTTTCTCCACAAAAGTTTATGTCTAAATTTGTGGATATAATTTGTAGCTATTAACTTTTATGTCTAACTTTTTTTGCACATAAGTTGTTTGGTTTATTATATTTTGCACATAACTTGTAGTAATTAACTTGTGTGTTGGACTTGGTTTATTAAATTATATGCTTAAATTTTGTTTTGCTACTTGTATGTCTTAACTTTTTGTTCTCAAATGGATATTTAATTACTCATTGTGATAGTGCTTTTCAATATGTTCTTGAATTACTTATATGATGGCCTAACTCACCTTTATTTCAAAGAGGTATTACTTTGTTCTTGAATTATGGCGTTATCAAGTTCTATTTTTAAAACTGTGATCATTTGATTACGATATATTGCCTACGTCTTCAGATTAGTTGACAAGATGTTTTCCAAATCCTTTTTATGTCACGCAGGAGCATGCAAAGCCTATTCGTGAGGCATTGACATACTATTTGTGCACCCATGAGGAGAATCAATTCTTGTTACCTGCAATACGTGACATAGCTGAGCAACATGTAGGATTTCATATTTGTACCTATTATTTTGTCTTTGATGGAATCCTTATCTTTGCTCCTTCTTAAACCTGTCGGGTTATAAAGCTTTCAAATTATACATGAACCTTAAGCACAATTAGTCGATACAGTGTCCAATGTCCTCCAATTACGGCTGGTCTGTTGGCACCCGAATAGTAATTTCTCTTGTAACCTGTTTAATATCGCCTTTGAAAACCATAAGCACGTCTAACAGGACTTCAGGTAGATGAACGCAATAAACACAGCGAAATAACAAAATTGCACATTCCAACGGTCTTATACGGGTACATCATACAGGCATCCAATCTCCCATTCACGACACAGCA